CTTTTTCTTTAAAAAAAGTCATCCTGGTGATTACGTAGATAAGGAAATGCTTTTACAGTGAAAACTAACATTCTTAGGATTTAAACAAAGTTGTAACTTTCCATGCTAGACAATTAGATAAGAAAGAACAGAGGTCTGCAGCTAAAGATTTGGCAGATAAAGAACAATCGTATTTTCCCCATAAGTTGCACTCCATACATGTGATCTCAGCAATGTTAAAACAAGTCTCCAAATACAGCCGATCAGTGCTGGATGACTTGGGCAAGTCTGGAAGCCCTTTTCTGGCCTCAGGTTCTCCTAAGGCCTGCAGAGACTGCCAGAAGTGTAGGACAATGGGAAAAACAGATCTGGAAGAAGTTGATTGTCTACTTTCAATATTGAAAAATGGTTATTTATTTATTTATTAATATTTAAGAACAAAACAATGAGTATACCAAGGTGGTGTACATCACTAGACTAGACCAATTCATTCATTCATTCATTCATTCATTCATTCATTCATTCATTCATTCATTCATTCATTCATTCATGCTGCTTAAAACCAGGAAGGTAACCTTGTTTTCAGAAGCACCAGTTCACTTTTTTTTTCCTGCTGCTTCTTTTGGCTGACAAAAGCAATTTTTAAAGTGGGGAAAGGTAAGGAAGTCTGATGGGCCCTGAAGTGAGGGCACATATTGTCTCTGGGACGCATTATACTCATCCCTGCAGGTGAAGGCTGAGGCAACGCGGGTTTGTCCAAAGTTACTTTTAAAGTTCATGAACAAGGTAAGATTTGAATTATGGACGTATAAGCTCATGGATCACAGCCTAGAAGCCAACGCCTGCGTTTTCCTTGTATGTATTGATCTCACAGCCCTGATTTTTCATGACTAAGCAGCCAGCATCAGGAAGGGAGCCCAACTGGAACTGCAGAACACGGAGGGGGAAGCGTTTAACCGTCTGCCTCTGCCCTGGGTGCTGAACGGCAGGCACATTTCTGCTGTCTGTGTCGGCCAAAGGCAGCAGTGGAACCATACAGTCCAATGCTTGCAGAGGCACAGGGAGGCCTGAATTCAGATGGGAGCCACAGTGGAGATCAGGAGATCAGGAGTAAAGCCAATCTCTCTTTCTCTCTCTCTCTGCACCAAGGTGCCAGTCTCGGCCACCTCCATCTCCGCCTACAAAAACAGCAGCTCTTATTAAAGGGTCGCAGATATGAACAATATGCCCGGATGAGGTCTTAAGCTACCACACCGTCCTAGGTCATAGATCCTGAACAATATGCCCGGATGAGGTCTTAAGCTGCCACACCATCCTAATGACAGGTCATAGATCCCCTCTTTGCCTCTGCTGCTTTTTTAGCTCCCTTGTTCAGACATATTCTGCTGACAGGCCTCACTTCTTCTTTGCCAGCAGAACCGCTGCCTAGGCCTCCTGTAAGTGAATCCTATGGTATTTTCTCACTGATACTCAGTTCCAGTGGCTCTTGGGCCTGCTGAAGGGGTGTGTGTGTGGAGGTTATTTCCCTGTGCTTCTAATTCCTGAGTTCTGCGAAAGGAGCCCCCTTCCTCCCCGCTTGGGATCCCATGACAGGAGCAGAAGAACTTCCTTCACTCATATTTCACACCCTATATCCGTTTCAACAGGCAGCTGCCAGCAGAAGGTAATGCAATGAAGCCTACGATCCATATCTCCCGGGAGGCAGGGATGGCGAGGAGGCTGTGCCCAAGGGAGTAACCCAGGCTGTGGCTTGCCTGTGCTTGGAAGCTCCCCAGTTCCCAAACAGACCATGTCAGGAAGCGAGCTAATCCCGGCATCATGTCCCTTTCCTGATAGGAGATATAAATAACAAAAACTCTGCTCCTGCAGTGACTCTTGTTAGCCTATGACTTGAAGACAAGTAACTGCCAGGGCAGTTTAGGAAAGGTCTGGTGGCCAGCCCTTCTTTTAAGTATCTCTCAACAAGTGTCTTCAGCCTCCAGAGCTTCACCTCATCACTAGCAAACCCGATATGATCCTGCCCAGTTACACCCTTCTCCTCCTCTCTTGGGTACAGCTTCATTGCCACAAGCACAATCACTATAGTTTTCATAGTTTCCACTGCTGTTTGATATTGGTTAGAATTTTTTTTTCCTAAAGTTACTCAGCTGAACGCTTGTTTGTCTTTGGAAAGAAATGGGCACACCATTAATAAAACTCTGAAATTTTTCAGCATTCAAATCGCTTCATACACATAGGCAGAGTCTGGACATCGTCACAGTAATGTACTATCTGGTGAGATGTGAATGATCCTAGTTTCTCCTCTCCTTAGGGTTTATGTGCACCCCATTGCTTCTCATTCTTGCAAAGAACTGAGAAGATCCCACTTTTGGTTAATTACACTGTGCTGCTGCAACAGAAAGAATAGTCTTGTGGCTATGGCATACATTTTTAATGGATTGCAGCCCTTAAGATCCAACTAAAAATGCATAAAGGCACCTGAAGAAGTGGATTGCAGTCCACAAAATGTATGCAAAATAAAAGCTGTTAGTCATCAAAGTGCCATAAGACATTTTCTTGTTTTGATTATAACAGATTACAGACCAACATGGCTTCTCCTCTAGAAATCACACAGCTTGAACACAATATTATTGTTAATCTTACCTATGCTTAACGTAAACTAGCCAGCTTCATAAATCAAAACCCACGCAGTAACTTTAATGATTTTAGATATGCAGATGACACCGCACTATTGGCAAAAAATGTAAATGATTTCAAATGATGATTGAGGAGGTTAAAGAATAAAGTAAAGAAGGAAGACTACAGGTAAACATTAAAAAACAAAAACAATGACTACAGAAGTATTACATAACATTAATGTTGGCAGTAAAGCAATCAAAATAGTCAAAGATATTCTACATCTTGGTTAAACGATCAATCCAAAGGAAGGCTGCAGCCAAGAAATCAGAAAAAGTACTGAGTCATGGCTGCAGCCAAGAAATCAGAAAAAGACTGAGTCATGAAAGAGCAGCTGTGAAAGAATTAGCAAAGATCCTTAAGATGTGTGGTTCTTGGGGACCAAGATCATCCATACTATGGTATTTCCTATTACTGTTTACAGACATGCAAGCGAGACAGCGAAGAAAGGGATCAGGAATACCCCCAATTCATTTGAAATGTAGGGTTGGATGAGAACTTTACAGATGCCACAGACTGCCAGCAAGACATGTAAACCAGGGCCAAAGTCCAATCAGGCCTGGACTCTAAAAATGTGGCTCAAATGAGGCTATTGTACTTTCAGTATTTCAGGAGAAGAGAGAGGAATCACTGGAAAAGACTACAATGCTGGAAGAAGTTGGAAGCAGTAGGGCAAAAGGAAGAACAAACATGAGGTGGATGTTTCTTCTGGTTTGCTTTAAACTCCATCTTATCCATTCAAAAGGAAGTCCAGCCTTTCAGCCTTAAGTGAGATGCAACTGTACATACAATACCGAACAACAAAATTCAGATGTTAAGAACCCAGGTGAGTAAATGGCACAGGGATTGCTGATTTTCCACAATGTTCCACAGCAATCATAGATAAGGAAACCTCTCTTCTTCAGAAGTCACTTTCCATATGTGAAGGGTCACTTGGATTTGTGACAAATCCCACTCCCTCCTTACACAATTACCCACCTGGATTCCTAACAATTGCATGAGGCTATGGGTCAATGTTTTGCTGTTGGAAATGAATCACAGCTAAGATTAACTGTCATTTATAGCAAGCAGAAGCCTCCAAATTCCTCTTCCCAGCCATGTGGAAAAGGTAAGGCACAGGGAGAACACGCAAGTCCAGTTGCAGGTGGAACTTATTTTTTTTCATCACTATGCTATGGTGATATCCAAGTAATATCCTAAGTTTCAGCAGTCCTAATCTACTACACAGTAGACCTACATGAATATTGTATTGGAGGTGGAGGGTGGGAATCGATCTAAGAAGATAGTTCCTTGCCAGAAGTATCATAATACAACAGTGACTGAAGCTACCTCCAACCACCAACTTACAATTTTAGCCAAGATAAAAGTGCATCAGCAGCACATCTATGGAAGAGTAATGTGGGAACTGCAGTATAGAAAACATGCAGACTTGACAACTTTGGGGGAAGCGCCCACATCAGGTCATGCGGATAAATGCTTAGATGCGAGATGCCTTGTCAATTGTCCTATCCAGCCTTAAGGAGTCAACTGGTGCCTTCACACTTTAAGGGGAGCACACTGCCCCTGTCTCGTTTGTTACTGCACTGAACACGGAAATGCAAATATCTGAAAAGTGAGAGGCTGCTCTATCCAAGTAGCTTCTCCATGTAAGCCAGAACCTCAGTACTGGAGGCTCACATGAAAAGATCTTTTTGAGTCCAAGAGCCTCCTCCACTTCAGGGAGCTACTTTGCCATGTTCAATATAACAGGGTGCTTACGTGTGTGTATCTGTGTTCCCCTTATTTTATGAGGGGTCTCTATGCACTTCCTTAATGACTGAACAGGGCTTAATGTGCAGACGTAATGACACAAAAGTATGCCTTCCAGTGGAACAGCCTTTCCCCCATCCTAATGAGAGAGAGAGAGAGAGATTTTGAAATCTTTATCTGAACAAACATCTTCAGTTTAACCTTCTGGTTTGCTTTAAGCTCCATCTTATCTATTAGGACAACAATTTCTGTGAAAGTACTGCTCTAGCTCAGTTACTGACCTGTTTGAACCTGCTCACCCTGATAACTGCATAGTTTTTCAAAAAGCCACCTTTATGATCCCTGTTTAGCCTAGCTCTGAAAGAAGGGGCTAAAGGACATGAAGGATTGCACAGAGCTGTGGACACTTAGCGGGGCACGTTACTGGTTAACTAAGTACAAATCTTCCTTTCGTGAATTTTGTTTATCATTAAAGAAATGTGAGGTCCTTCCTTTTTAAGCAATGTGTGTTCTCATCAGTCCTCCTGATATATGTGAGAGTTGGTCATCAGTTCTCAAAGTTATGCAACGTAACTGCGAACGTTTTGCTCTCCTACCTTAATAGCACAGGGCTTGTCACATTTCCTGGGATCTTTCCTACCCAATAGGCCAGCGTAGGAACGCGGTGTCCCCCTTCCCACGTTGTCTGCTTTGCTGAACTACCACCTGTGGAATATAAACAGAGAAAATATATGTGCAAAGGCCTGTCTGCCAGAAGCCTTGCCTTTGGGCTGATAAAAAAAATCTTATGAGCCAAGCGTGCAAAAGAAGGCAATAAACTGGAGCCATGAATACAAGGTCTCTTTCAAGAAAAGGAAAGAAAAGGATAGAAAAGAAAAGAGGAGCACAATAAATTTGGGGCTCGGTTCAGTTTAGAGTTTGGAAATGTTATTTTAAAGACTTAAACTTCCAGAATCAGTTCAATCCTTGCTGAACTGGCTGTTAAGTGGGGAAATCTCGGAGCCCTATTTTCCCATTTGTGAAGGACATTCCAGATCTGCTGCAAAAGCAACAGAAACAAATGATATTTGTACGTAACAACTTCAATGTTCAGTTATGTCTGTAAATGTCCACTATGACCAACAGATGGGAAGTGTTATGAAGTGAGGAGATACTATTCAAAGGCACTGTCACATCTGGAAGATGATTGTGAAGGCAGTTACAGCTATGGATTGTGCCTGAGGGAAAACTGGTAGTAGTTCCCTGAGGTTGGGATTGGTGAGTCTCTCTACCTGGGCTCCCCCACCCCAACTTGCAGCAGAGAAAGCACAGCTTGAGAAGTGCTGCAGCTGCTACTTAGGCAGTGAAGGGAAAGAACATACTACCACTGGAATGAAAGAAGTGGATGTAATGAGGGCATGTCTTCTCATGGGCGTGGCAAAGGAAAACAGCCATCCATAAACAGAGCTTATAAAAATATAAACATTTGGGGGTCACAAAATCTCAGAAACCCTTACTGGCTGAAGATTCTCTTGAGGTGTGGCCCCAAAAGGTAATGTTTTTAGATCTCTGGCCAGGACGAAAGTAGGATGCTTAGGGCTTTCCATTAGAAACAAAAATAGTGTGCTTTACAGCTCAAATTAAGATCGACAGGATTTAAGAAGGAAATCTCACACATCTAACGCATCTGTACAAACAGTTAGAATTTAGGCCACTGTTTTCCCAAGCTGAACATCCACAGTTGTTTGGTTTCTAGGAATGTACTGTTTTGATGCTGCTTGAGCAGAAGAGAAGTCAAACCAGGAAATGCTTTAATTGATTTCAAGCTGATTCAGTTCTGCTTACCCATCTCAGCCTCAGGGGCTAGAATGGAGATGGGTGTGTCTCTGTTGTGTTTGGACAACAAGATCTGGAAATGTTCAGTATTTCGAGATGTTACATCCAAACTGGAGACATTTATGTAACCGTACACCTGGCAAGGCAGCTGCCTTGTTTAAAAATAATCCCTCTCTCTGGCACCCCCATCAGTTTTCCCATGCCTGCAGACAGGAGAACATTGGGCAGGGGGCCTGTATATATTGTGAAAATTACTTTTTAGACTACAGACTCCCAGCCAGCACAGCCACTGGTCATTCTGAGAAATATAAAAGTTGTAGTCTTAAAAAGTAACTTTTCCAACCTCTTAAAAATGCCCTTTTTTATCAGGTCTGATTATTTGGTTGCAGAGTCCATTATGGTGTTCTCTTGGCCGGCAATGGCTCTCTTCACTCTTAGACAGTGAAAAATCTTTCTTATCACTTGCTATACTAAATAGCATGCTTTCTTTCCCTAGATGTTTTTACTCCACATGACATTGGGCTGATAATAATCAGAAAAAAAAACCTTGCCTACTGCTTGCCTTTAACAGCGTCTTAATGAGGAGAAATCAGCATTTCATGGCATGGAGAAAAACAGCTTTTGATAATGTCCACATTAAAGGCACAGCTGGAAGGGAAAGTCAACCGACAAGATGGCAATCCCAACTTTGCTGATTATGTGCAAGTGAATAACTGAGGGAATGGGTCAAGCTTCTTTGCTTAGAATTTGAGAGGTCCACACAATTGACTGATAGTCACTGTGGCATACACACCCGCACATACAATAGACACCGTTGGCATCTGCAGTACAGGAAGGAGGCTATTTTTATACCACTGAAACTGATACGGTTTTTTTCCCCCAAGAAGCTGGAAAACTGAAGTAGATATGCCCATGTGAACTATTAACAGGGCTTAACTGATTGTTGATCCAGGCCTCCAATGGAGTAATTGTCATTGTTATCATCACCATCACTTAACAAAGGGAGTCAGCATTTTCTGCATGAGCCATTAAAAACCATTTTGAACCCATTCTGCTACCATAATACTTCAATCTATAACTTTCTAGTTTAAAACTACTTTTTTTGCTGTACAAGGAGAGCAAATGATGACATCCCTATCTGAGAATTTTCAGCTATTTGAATCTTGTCCGGACATGTCTTCACTGCTAATTTTATTTCCTCAACAATAAACAGAATTTTCCTCACCGTGGGCTCACAGAATACACATATATGTTTTTTTACTATTTGTCTTCTTTCTTTCCACTTGAACAATACTTGGAGTGCAGAACGTAATGTGTCAACCCTCATTAGATGTTATACCACTCTCTTGAACAAAGTTGTACTAGGACTGCCCAGGGTGGAAACCTTATGCTCCTTCTGTTGCCACCATGTTTCAGTCTCATATTTAGTTTCTAAATATCTCCTCAGAAGTACTTCTGCTTGACCAGTTGCTCCTGACATTATATCTTCTTTTTGCTCCCTTTCTCCCTGATTATGGAGAAACTTGAATATTTAGTCTTGCCTCTGAGAGAGATAAGCAACCTGGCAGTTTCATCTGCTACCCTTTCCCTTTCCATCCCCTCTCACATCTCTAATTTAAAGAAAGTGGACCGAAGGTACAAAGGTGGAAAACAAATCCTTCCAGTGTAGATTATGGATATGGTTGGCTAAGCCCACCCCACCCTGTTAACAACTGGATTGAACTGAAACAAATGTGATGTCTGTTGGTTTTTTCCTTTGGGTTTTTTTTGTGTGTGATTTTGTTGGTTAATCTGTTTCTTAAATGGAAAGGCCTTGTTTTGCAAAATGGGATCAAGGAAGGAAACTCAATTCAAATTATTTTTTCAAAATCCCATGAACCAATATGATGATGGTCTGTTGAAAGTGGAGAGTGGTATCCCTAAATACAAAAGGCATCAGAGATACAACTTCCCTTAAAGTTTCTAAATTGTTTCTGGGCCATTTTTTTTTTAAAATGAAGCACACATCCACACGCTAGGACAGACCCATGGCATTTATTTCAATAATCAAATGTTATGCAAGCATTCTGTTGCATCAAATTACAAAGGCCAAGGCTTCTGAGAAAATCTGACAGATGACAGAAACAGAACGTTCCCTTGTAAGGAAGCTGGGGGGTAATAAAAATAAACCCAAATACACCACTTGCAAAAGCAAAAAATGGAAAATTACTAGTGGAGGGGATAACACTGGACCCATTAAACAGGTTACTTTTCTTGAGGGCACATATATCTGTTCTCTCTAAAGCTATAATTTTCTGGCAAGATAAAGATGTTGCTGGTATATACTTATTTTCTTTTAACTGATTTTTAACAGCTCTAGATGAGTTTGCTATCTTCCTATATGATCAGATAGTTGAGGAATGCTCATAAATCCTTCTTTAGTACTAGAAGCTGATCTGATGTCAGTGACTGAGCTAAAGCACAAATTTCAACTACTAATATGGTCTGGTAACATCCAGGCAAAACCAATACATAGGACTACCTTTGAAGACTGTTCAAAAATTGCAGTTAGGGCAAAATATAACCACCAGGGAGATAACTGAGGTATGGAAATTATATCTCAGTTCCACAGAAAACAGCTCCACTGATTCCAGATCTGAATCCAAGCTTAAGACAAGGTGCTGGCACTGAACCTTAAAAGTACAACTCAACTTGAGGACTTGGTATTTGTGGGACTGTCTTCTTCACACTTTGCCAAGCTGACAAAGTCTTCCTCAGAAGTTCTCCTCAGGGTAGCACCATTTTCTGAGGTAAAGCTGAAGAGACAACCTGTGCTGGCAGTGTCCTAACCTCTCCTTGGGAAGGTGTCATCTGGCAGCTATTCTGTACTCATTTTATAGTTTTAGAGATATTTCTTTATCTCCTATGTGTATCTACTGTATATTATTCCACGTTGTTTGGTGTTGTACTATGCTTTCTTGCTGTTTGGTTCTGTGATTGGTGCATTATTTTAATGTTTTTCTTGTACAATACTCTGAGGTGCATGGAAGCAATGGAGGCAAAAAATAAATCACCCACAGTCCCATGTTCAGTAAGCAGGACTGGAGAAAAGAATAGCCAAAAGTGCTACAGTGCTGCTGCCAACAAGCAAATGAAGAAGCCATCATACATAACCCATATCCTTAGCATACCAAAGTGATCTTAACAAATGGTCTTGAGACGGTAGTGCGACTAAAAGCAAAACACTGTTTCCTCTCAGGACAACACTCATCATTAATTAAGATACTACAGCTGAGTAGACTCTTTGGAATGTTGGCTAACTCTGTCCAGCCATTAATCCTGCAGTGCTCACTTGAAATTGCAGGTTGTATAATCTCCTTAGACAGATTTTACTTTCTTGGGCTCCATGATCACTGCAGATGGTGACAGCAGCCCCGAAATTAAACGACGCCTGCTTCCAGGAGGAAAGCGATGACAAACCTCAACAGCATCTTAAAAAGCAGAGACAAAGGTCCACATAGAAGCTCTGGTAGCGATGTATGGTAGTGAGAGATGGGCCATAAAGAAGACTGATCACCAAAGAATTGATGCTTTTGAATTGTGGTGCAGGAGGAGACTCTTGAGAGTCTCCTGAACTGCAAAGAGAACAAAGCCATCCATTTTGAAGGAAATCAAGCCTGAGTGCTCACTGGAAGGACAGGTCCTGAAGCTGAGGCTCCAATACTTTGGCCATTTCATGAGAAGAGAAGACTCCCTGGAAAAGCCCCTGATGTTGGGAAAGTGTGAAGGAAGGAGGAGAAGAGGATGACAGAAGACGAGATGGTTGGACAGTGTCACAGAAGCTACCAACATGAATTTGACCCAACTCCGGGAGACAGTGGAAGACAGGAGGGCCTGGCGTGCTCTGGTCC